ACCCACATCCCCACCCCCGCCAGCTGTCTCCCCTGCCCCGGCTGGACAAGCGGCAGCAGACCTGAGACCCCGCTTCCAGTGCTGCTGCATCTGAAACCCACACCCCGCTGCCTCCCTCCCCAAGTAATGTACCCCCCACCCGGGCTGGGCAGCTTATCCCAGTCCCAGTCCCAATCCCTCCCTCCTGCATGCTCCTTCCCTCCCCCAACCCCAACAGATTTACCAGCTGGAGAAATCTGTCAGCTGCCTGTTTAGTCTATGGCCAAATCTCCAAATCTGCCGAATCTTTTCCAAAGCTTTTCCAAATCGATTCAGAGCTTTTACTTGGTCTCCCGATTCGATTCAGATTTGGAGATTTGGTCCGCGAATCTCCTCTGAATTGAATCAGCTACCAAAGCTTCACGCAGCCCTAGCAATTAATACTAATGAACTCGAGTGTTCTTCTCTCAGAAGCTGCAGTCCCCCCTCAGGAGGGGTTCTGTGCAGGTGGGAGTGTGCACAGATGGGCCTGTTCACCACATTGCTACAAAAACAGTTCCACTAAATTTTCTGTTCAGAAAAAACAAGCTCCATGGAGAACTACCATATGACAGGGAGAATCCAGTGGTTACATCCTTACCTCTTACTAGTTCTTAAACTAGTAACATTCAAAGCAGGGGCTCTTCAACTGTGGTAACTGGGCTCCATTCACTTCAGCACAACTGATTGAGAAGAGGCTTCATGATGTTTGGGAGCCACTGACATGGAGTGGTCTCATTCTGCCCCCTGCCTAATGTGAGCCTGGTAATAGTGTTCTCTCCACGTACACCGGACTGAACTCTTCTTCCCAACTTTTTCAGGAGAGAGAGGTCCAAGGTGCCTTACATTGTGCGCCAGTGTGTGGAGGAGATAGAGCGGCGTGGGATGGAGGAAGTGGGCATTTATCGTGTCTCAGGGGTTGCAACTGATATCCAGGCGTTGAAAGCTGCCTTCGATGTCAGTAAGTATTTGCTCCTGATGTTTTCCTCCCCACTGGCACTCCACCGCAAGTGCCCTTTCAGGTTGCTGTACTGCGTTAATTGTGCCTAGCCCAGGAAGCATTAAGAAATGAAGATGCTGGCACAAGGGCTATCATCTAAAACGCACAATAGCTTTAATAGTGATCTCCAGGTACAGACATGCACAATGGACTGGACCCTTGCCCTGAGAAATATACTAGTTATTCTGCCCAGCAGGCACAACTTGGTGGTTTGCCACATGCTCCCTAGAGGAAGTGGGAGCAGCCAGAAGCCTCACTTCCTACATGGTCCTGGCGACTTGGGATGAGTGAGGCACTTGCAGCTGCTTGTGCATTTCATATTAAAGGAGCCCTACAAGATGATTTTTTAAAGGTTTCAATAGAGATAGAGAGGTCTGATCGACCAGGATGTAACTGGGAACCAGGACTCCTGGGTTCTATTCCCAGCTCTGCCATTGGTTTTCCCTACAACATGGAAGGAGCCAAGTTTTCTCTGTTTCTTCTGTGCCCATCTGTACAAAGGGAAGAGTAATCCTTTGACAACCATGGATGACATAAGGCCCTGTGGTCTTGCTGTATTTTCTGTGTGTTCCAATAACAGCAGGGATTGCTAGATCAAAACGGTTTAACAAATGGAAAGCACTTAGTGTCTGTTCCTTGCATGTGGAATTTCCCAGCTCTGCCCCTGTCAAAGGGGCCAGTGCAAGGGCTGGGCACTGGTGAAGTCCTAGCTGAGCCCTGTTTTGACTGAAGTGGTGGCCACACCTTGTGTCAAGCCTTGAATTTCACCTTTCTTGCAATTTCCCTTTGCTGGGATTGTGAAACTTCTCTTTTCAAATGTGGCTGAGTCTGAGTTTCCAGCAGCGGGTGTGTGTATGTGTGTACATGTGTGCACTCAGTGGTGGAGGAAGGGCGGTATTACATTAAGAATAATACAACATAACTGCTTTAATTTAAGCCATTCATACACTAGGCATGACGTGAGCCATGCCTGGGTTTTTCAGGAGGGACCTAAACAATATGGCTTCCTTTAACACAGCTCTTATCAGAAGAAGCTGAGGGCATCTCTGAGTATTGGGATGGTCCAAACAGGGAACAGAAATGCATTTAATTGAACTTATGAGGCTTGATCCAAATTTCATTGACAACGTTGGAAAAGCCCTTTTTTGACTTTGCTGGGTTTTGGATCTGGCCCAGGATAATGACAAAGTAGAAGTACTTCTGGGTATTTTGGGTTTACCTCTCACCCAGGCTGATTGATTCAGGGGCATTGGGCTTATAGCTGCTTAGCGGTCACAGGGCAGTGAATGTAATCCACTGCATGACACTGAGATGAGATGAATGGAGAATGTTGCAGTCAGCCCAAGCACAGTAACAGCAGGCAGTGAGCATCTGCTTTTTGTGCAAGGAGAAAGAATAAACAAAGGGAACAAAATAGAGGCAGACAGAAGAACGAACAAAAGACCAATACTTCATTACCTGCCTATCTCCTTGCTTTCTTTTCCAGACAACAAAGATGTGTCAGTGATGATGAGCGAGATGGATGTTAACGCCATTGCTGGGACATTAAAGCTGTATTTCAGAGAACTGCCTGAGCCCCTCTTCACAGATGAACTGTACCCCAACTTTGCAGAGGGCATCGGTGTGTAGCAGCAGAAATATATGTTAAATGTGATAGATTAACATTGTGCTTCCTTTTTTAAAAAGGCACTTCAGCATCGTAAATAGTAATATCTATAATATTACTGTAATACAGTGGAGGTGAAGAGCTCTTGCTTTTTAATCAGCCTGAATCCTACCTTGATTAGATTTTAGACTGGGGAAAGGTGCAAAAAGGCTGAGTTTTGGACTATAAGAATGGAAGAGAGATCCAGTTTAGAAGGATTTGAGTTGCAACTTCCGAGGTTGATTCAGAGCAGGGGTGTCTCATTGGTTTGGGGTCTGGAGTGCTTTGGCATCCCCTGCACAGAGGACAGGATTCTGAATTCCCTTGTCAAAGGAAAACTGAAAATCCAAGGGGGAAGAGAGGCTGTGCCTGGGAATACTGAGCCTCTTGCTTGTGATATTGTTGCAAAACATTAAGCATCACCTAGCGGGTCTGGCAAGTTCTGCTGTCCATTAAGTTCTCATTCCTTTCCTGTGTGGTCGTGTTCTTCTCCTGCAGCACTTTCAGATCCGGTTGCAAAGGAAAGCTGCATGCTGAACCTATTGCTGTCACTTCCAGAACCTAACCTTGTGACATTCCTTTTCCTTCTGGACCATTTAAAAAGGTAACACAGAGACTCTTCAGACAGGAGCACTAACTGTGTAGATCAAGTCAGACCTATCTTGGATAGAGGTTATAGGCTAAATTATCCATATGGCACCTTTGCTGATTTTCCCTTAATAACTATTGAGTAGTCCATGCAAAATAGTCTTGTAAGGGGCTAAGTCTTGAATTCCATACTTATTGATGGCACTGGAATTGTGCTCAAGGAAGAGGGGAGAAAGATGTTAAAGGCTGAAACCAATGAAAATGTGATTTCCTGCAATCC